CCAGCCTTGAGGAGCGAAACGACGTAGAGGGTAGTACCTTTCTAAGGGCACACTCGTAATCTTCTCGTAATCTGAAGGCCAAATAGGTTTAGGCTACCGAGGATGCCGAACAAGTTTAGGCTACCGAAGGTGCCGAACATGTTCACGCTGTTGAGGGTGCCGAAACGGGTTCAGGCTGTCGAAGGTGCCGAATAGGTTTGAGCTGCCGAGGGTGCCAAAACGGGTTCAGGCTGCCGAAGGTGCCGAACAGGTTTAAGTTGCTGAGGCTGCTGAACGGGTTTAGGCTACTGAAGGTGCCGAACGGGTTCAGGCTGTCGAGGGTGCCGAACAGGTTCAGGCTGCCGAAGGTGTCGAACGGGTTCAGGCTGTCGAAGGTGCCGAACAGGTTTAGGTTGTCGAGGCTGCCGAACGTGTTTAGGCTATCGAAGGTGCCGAACGGGTTCAAGCTGTCGAGGGTGCCGAACGAATTCAGGCTGCCGAAGGTGTCGAAGGGGTTCAGGCTACCGAGGGTGCTGAATAGGTTGAGGCTGCCGAGGGTGCCGAACGGGTTCAGGCTACCGAAGGTGCCGAACAGGTTCAGGCTGCCGAAGGAGTCTTTCAACGGTAACCGAACGACGAACTGAGTGACAAGTCAGTAGGGAAAACTTTTCAAGAAATCCAAAGGTACATCCTTGGCCGAATGACAACTCGGGAAGGAAACCTTTTCAAGAAAATCGAAGGTACATCCTTGGCCGAGTGACGACTCAGGAGGGAAACCTTAATATAAAAAAATCGAAGGTACATCCTTGGCCGAGTGACGACTCGGGAGGGAAACCTTTTCAAGAAATCCAAAGGTACATCCTTGGCCGAGTGAGGACTCGGGAGGGAAACCTTAATAAGAAAAATCGAAGGTACATCCTTGGCCGAGTGACGCCTCGGGAGGGAAACCTTTTCAAGAAATCCAAAGGTACATCCTTGGCCGAGTGACGACTCGGGAGGAAAGCCTTTTCAGGAAAAGCGAAGGTACATCCTGGGCCGAGTGACGACTCGGGAGGAAAACCTTTTCAGGAAAATCGAAGGTACATCCTGGGCCGAGTGACGACTCGGGAGGGAAACCTTATGAGCGAAATTCGAAGGCACGTCCTTGGCCGAGTGACGACTCGGGAGGGAAGCCTTCTGAGTTAATATTCGAGCAAACAGTAAAGAAGAAAGTCCTGAATGAGAGTGAATTGTACTTTATTGATTGGTGTCTCGTTAAAAACCTTGTCGGCCAAAATCCCTTTTCACATATTTATAAGGGTAGAAATGACCGCACCTTTGTGTATACATCATTTCAAACATACATCAGCTTCTCTGTCTCTCCCATAATTTCAGCTCGAGCTTGGTTGCGGAAATTAGCTAGCTCTTCCATTTGCATGTACTTGTCGGCTCGTCGTCGTAAGTCGTCCATGTCGGTTGGTGGCTTCTTGCAGATACTGTTGGCAAAAGGTCCCGACTTCAACGTTGTGGTGAGGTGGTGAAGTGCCACTACCGGGTTCAGGTCTCGGATTTCCAATGCCGCTTTATTGAATCGGCTCATGAAAGTTCGGAGAGATTCCTTCTTCTCTTGCTGAATGCTCACCAATGCCAGGGAGGTCAATTGATGAGTGTGAATAATCAATTTTATCCGGACTCACAAAAGTGATGAAATAGACATCTACTATGAAGGGAAGGAGCTCCCGAAACATGCCGACAAGAAGACAGGACTTTAGAGGGCCCAAAAGCACAAATTAAGTATTTTTTTTTTGGGCCCGTAACGGGCCGTTCCAGAATCGGAACGGGTCGTTCCAAGGTCCAGAACGGGCCGTTCCAAGGCTCCAAAAAGGCCAAAAACCCTAATTTGGAACGGGCTGTTCCGAAATTGGAACGGGTCGTTCCAATATTGGAACGGCCGTTCCTAAAACGGAA